TCAATGCCTCACACTCCGTGGCAAGCCCATACTTGTAGGTGTGATTGCACAGAGGCCATGAAGAAGAAAAACAAATTCCTGTCTCCTCCAGGAAAACCAGATCAAGCTTTGCTTTCCTGGCCTCAGAAGTGGGACTTCCCTCATACCTGGCTGGTCTCCTGAACATGTGGGGAAAAGAGAATGTTACAAGGGCAAGGACAGTAAGCTTAGAGGAAAGAGGGGTTGTACTGTTTTTCTCCCATCTTATATGGATCTTCAATCCATCCATATTTTTACAAAGATCCTGAAAGATCTTAGAGCAGGGATAAGCAACTGTGGGAAGACTGGGATCAATCCCTCCCCCCACAAAATCCCCTACACATAACACACTTTTGGAGGCACAGTCTACAAGGTAAACTTGTGTTGCTGGGAACAGATTGAGGATTCAGCTCAACAAGAGCTCTATCTTAGCTGAAAGCTTGCAGCCTGTGCCAGGTCACTGCACTGGGCAGGGAGCGGGACTTCCACTACAGACACCTCTTTTGCCAGCCTCACACCAAGGATTGGGTGGCTTGGTGGCTGTGAAAGAGCACCATCCATTTGGTGCCCATTTGGCAATGGTTCATTTCATTTCCTGCCCCTTTTCTTTCTCTTCCCTCCCACCCTCCTTTTCTGTTTGCACTGTATGTCCTGCCAATGGGTGGACACAACTGTACTTCAGTTACTTCAGGGCCTCTGGAAGGCCAGCATTTATAGTTGATTTCTTTGGATGATACCCTCTGGATGAGTTCTGGGTTAAGCTTTTCCATAAGGACTCTCGAGGATCCGGATTAACCAATGGCCTGCAACCTCTCTTCCTCCCTGGAATTTCTTGGCTACTAGGCGAGTTAGGTGTAGGACAACATTATGGATCTGGAAAGGGATGGAGGGCTGGGGGGGGGGGTGCAGTCACTGGGGTGGTAATAGGTAGGGGAAGATATGGGAGAGGGGGGTTTAACATGCCCACGAAGGAGAAAAGAAGTCAGAAGAGAAGAGAAGAAAAGAGAGAAGAGAAGAGCATCTGTTCCCTCTTCTAGTTCTTCTCCCAGCTGAGTGGTACCAGGTTAACTGTATCAGTCAGCCCCTGGGTCTGGTGGTGCTGTTATTCAACACTCGGTTGGTCCAAAACAAGACCTACCTCATCTGTGATTTGATTATGGTTGAAGGTGCTGACCTGGCTTGTATTACCAAGACCTGGGTGGAGGAGTGGGGCAAGGTTCTTCTCTTTCAGCTATGCCCACCTGGGTATTTGATACAGCACCAACAATGCCTGGAGGGCTGGGGAAGGGGAGTGGCCATGGTTTATAAGGGCTTGTTATCACTCTTCAGGCTTCCTGGCTTCTCAAGGTCTGGTCTTGGGTGTCTTTACCTGGCATAAGATTAGAGATTCTGTTGGTATACCATCCGTGCTGCTGTCCACATGCACTGAGGGAGGTAGTCTTGGACCTGGTGTTGAAGACTCTTAGAAAGTTATTTCTGGGGAATTTCAATGTCCAATGGCTCAGGACTTCATGGCCAGCATGACCATGAGGCTATCTCAGAATGTCATCAGCCCAAGACGCTAGTAGTGGACAGGTTGGAAAAGCTTTTAATAAATAAATAATGAAAAAAGTCACACTCTCAACCTAGTCTTTTCAATGGTTCAAAGGGATGGTGGTCTTGATATGGAGATAACACTGTTGTCATACTCAAATCACTTCATGGTGAGATTTAGACAACTGGCACTTCTTCCCTCTGCAAGGGTGAAGGACCTATTAGAATGATCCACCCTTGGAGGCTGATGGATCTGGATGGATTCCAGACAGCTTTGGGGAAATATCTGGCTGATATGGTAGGTGCTCCTTTCAAAGTCCAGGTAATCCTGTGGAACAGGGAGATGATTGGGGCAGCTGATATGATTGCACCTAAGCACCCTCTCCATTTCAGCAGAGCCTAACCAGATCCATGGTATATAGAATCATAGAATATTAGAGCTGGAAGGAGCCATAAAGGCCACTGGGTCCAACCCCCTGCTGTTGCAGGACACCAATTTACAAATCCCACTCAGATGGCTGTCCAGTTTTGCCTTCAATATCTCTAGTGAGGGAGAGTTCATGACCTCTCTAGGCAACTGGTTGCACTGTCGTATTGCTCTGACAGTGAGGCAACTTTTCCTGATATCTAGTTTGAATCTAGGTTGTTGCAACTTGAATAGATTATTCCGTGTCCTACACTCTGGCACAAGCAAGAAGAGATCTTGACCTTCCCCTTGGTGACAGCCTTTGAGGTACTTATAGAGGGATATCATGTCCCCTCTCAGTCTTCTCAAGGCTGAACATACCCAGTTCTCTCAATATCTCTTCATAGGGCAGTGTTTCCAAACCCTGGATCATTTTGTTCCCCTCTTCTGGACCCTTTCTAATTTTTCTGCATCTTTCTTAAAATCTTGGTGCCCAGAACTGGACAGTTTTCCAGTTGGGGTCTGACTAGTGAGGAGTTTAGGAGAACTACTACTTCTCATGATTTGAAAGTAATACTTCTATTAATGCATCCCAAAATAGCATTTGCCCTTTTGGCGGATGCATCACATTGTCTCATATTTAGCCTGTTCACAATTACTCCGAGGTCTTTTTCTTTTTCAGTTCTGTTCAGCCACATATTCCCCATCTTGTATTGATGCATTTGGTTTCTTTTTCCAGAGCTTAGAGCAATGAAGCAAGAAGGGAAATGGCTTGTGAGCAAGGGGAAGAAATCTTGTGACAACTGTGATTGAACCCAGCTTAAGAGTTACTATCCAGCCTATTCCATGGTGATTACACTGGCAAAATGAGTTATATGAGTTATTTTGCCAGCTGTATTGCTTCCTTACAGTGCTGTCCAGCTGAATTATTCTGGGTGTTCTGGAGTCTCTTGCAATTTGGTTTGCCAGATGAGAGTCCTGACCCTTGGGTGACCACTGTGATGAATTTGCTGTACACTTCGAGGGGGAAAAAATCACTCAGATCTACCATGAGTTGGACTGTACAGTTGTTTTAGTTCCTTCTAGGGATGTGTCCAGAACACTGTTCTTTAGTCCTATTTTGCTGGATGAGTTTCAATTAATGTGGCCCAGTGATGTGGACAAGATGCTTGACTCTGTTCATCCTACCACCTGCCCATTTGACCCTTGCCCATTATGGATCATAGGTTCCCCCCTAGGTCCACGAGGCTGTTAACACCTTCTTAAGAGAAGGGGTGGTCTAAGCCTCCTTAAAGGAGGCAGTGATAAGATCACTCTTTAAAAAGCCAAACCTGGATTCAGGGAGAGTTGCCAATTACTGACTGGTAGTGAACCTCCCCATTTTGAGCAAGTGGGTGGTGGTGAGGCAACTCCAGGCACTCTTGGAAGAATCAGATTATCTGGACCCATTTCAGTTGGGTTTCAGGTCAGGATTTGGGATGGAGATTGCCTTGGTTGTCCTGTACGATGACTTTTGCCAAGAGAAAGACATGGAGAATTCAAACCTGTTTACTTTTCTAGACCTTTCAGTGCTTTTGGCACCATTAACCATGTTGTCCTGCTGCACAGGTTGGCTTTATTAGGTGTTGGAGGCACTGCCTTGCATTGGTTCTAATCCTTCCTGTCTGACTGTGTCCAGAAGGTGGTTCTCAAAGATAGTTGCTGTGATTATGCCAAGAGATTCCACAGGGCTCCAAATTATCCCTGTGCTTTTCCATATCTACATGAAACCACTGGAAGAGGTCATCTTGAGGTTTGGGGTGAGATGTCATCAATATGCTGACAACACTCAGCTCTTTCTCTCATTTATATCAAAACCAGGTGAGGCAGTCTCCAAGTTTGAGTTTGATAATGGACTGGATGAGGGCCAATACACTGAAACTCAATCCAGACAAGACAAAAGTGCTGTTGGATGACAATCTGTCTGACAGGTTGGGTGAGCATTGACCTGCCTTGGACAGGGTCACACTTCCCCTAAAGGACAGGGTCTGTAGCTTGAGGATGCTCCTGAATTCAAAAATATCATTGGAGTCCTAGGTAGACTTGGTAGCTTGGAGTGCTTTTTTCAGCTGTGGTGAATACAACACCTACAGCCTTATCTGGATTGACAGAGCCTGACCACAGTTACTCATGCACTGGTAACATCCCAACTGGATTTCTGTTATGTACTTTACACAGGACTGCCCTTGAAGGTGGTCTGGAGACTTCAACTGGTCCAAAATATGACTGCGACTTTGGTAGTGACTATCAGTTCAGGAGCCTATATAACACCTATTCTATATGAATTTCACTGATTGCCAGTTGAAACCAAAGCCCAATTTAAAAGTGCTTGTTTTAACATATAAAGCCTTAAACAGCTTGGGGCCTGGTTACTTGAAGGACTGCCTTTTCCTATATATATCAACCTGCCCATTGAGATCTGGGTATGAGGTCCTTCTGAAAGAACTATCCCTAAAGAAAATGAGAGGAATGGTGAACAAAAAAGGGTCTTCTTGGTGGCTGCCCATCCACCTTTGGAATGGGCTTCCCAGAAAGGTGCTGTCTCTATTTTCATTTTGGTGCCAGGAGAAGACTGTCCTTTTTTGTGGGCATTTTGAAATCTGATTTTAACAACTGGTTGTTTTAAGATATCCTGCACTACCAACTTCTCATCCAATTGGTATTAGACGCTTTACCACTATAACAAGTGCAATTTAGGTAAGCAAAACTTTCACAATAACAAAGTAAAGTATTTGTAAACTTTGCCACGCTCCATGCTCAATTAGATTTCAGGTCATTAAAAAAATAACTCTGTGCAAGGCTTCAGTTTCCTGACCACTGCATTCAAAAGCCAGGTCCAACTGTATAAAATTTCTTTTGACTATGTTAACCTTTTAATCTTTTTCCAGCACTGAAGGCAGACATATCCTCAGTTACAGAATGTAACTCAGGAGAATGGTACACTAAAGCTTTCATTCAACTACAAAAACCTGCCAGGAAATATGAAATCCTATGTTATACCTACTTTAAAATACTGGGTGCCCTTTTCTTTTGCAATGGTGCCTTGTTCCAGCTTTTCATCAGTGTTCATCTCCCAGGACTCCTTAGCCTGTGCAAACAAAACAATCAGCAGGGTGCTTTTTTGGTAAGAAAGCCCATGGAAGAATGGTACATAGAAAAGCATAAACAGATCTGACAAGTGAATACTCACATCATCTCATTACCTCCACCGCATGACCACACTAATAAAGTGCTACAAGAAGATGTTAAGCAGCAAGCATGGGATAGCATCCTTTTTTCAACTTCAGTTATGCCTTTAGGACTGGTAAATATGAGATAGATGTATATTGTTTAACTTGAGCTGTGTCTGCACCACTTGCATGCCAATGTAACACAGAGCATTTTAGTTTAGCCTTGCTGTTCCCTGCTTTGTACTTTCTTCCCTATATTCCAAGGTTTTTACCTTAATAGTTTGTACTACAATGGTTTTACAGTTCTAATTCGTAATTTCTAGATTGATCTGCAGCATGAATCCCTTGTTGGAGATACTTCCATGAAAATAATGCACAATTGGTTCCACGAAATACATACATGTAGAGTATGCCCTTCTTTATGCTATTAACCTCTGAAGTGGGGTGACTGTGATATTTAAACATTTGCGGCGGGGGGGGGGGGAATCTTTATATGCACAAAACAGGGAAGAAGAGGACATCTCTGGTGAAAGATAATAGCATCCAAAGCAATAAGCATTTCATTTTCCTCACAGCTCTGAAAAGTTTCTGCACCACAAAAATCTTCCTTAAAGAAATCTTACTAACTGCATTTTAAAAGCAAGCTGTTGAATTATTTATTTGATTAATTCTTAGCCTCCTTTCAAGACCCTAGGGTTCTCAATGGCAAAGCCAATCATAGATTTTATAAGCAATGTTACATAAAACCAGTTACAATAAATCACAATTTCAATATACTGAACAGCAACAAATACCACTAAAATGGTCAATTAAAAGCGATGGAGATGGGTTTTTAGCAGCTGCACATGGTGCCAACTGTATTTGTCTCACAAGCAAATTCCATAACATAAGAGCCACTACAGAGATGCTGTCGCTACTGCCTGCCAACCTTTGTAATTGTGGTGGTGGCCCAAAAGCCAGGGCCTTTGATGATCTTAAAACTTTCTCACATTCATCCATGTGTAAGTAACCAATAAATAACATGAACCCAAAGTATTTGGGGTCTTAAAGGTAAAAACCAGCATAATGAAGCAGGCCTAGGAAGACTCTGGTAACTAGTGAGGGTAGAATTCTCTGTCCCCAGTGAAGACCCTATTACTACCATAGCATTCCCTACCCATCACCTCTTCTATGACAGCTCCTACCTTCTGGTTCCTCATCCCATAATTATTCTCACCCGAAAATATCCTAGATTTTGAACTTAATCAGTCCCTGAACTTAACAAGCTCAAGCTATAGCTCAGCACAGCTACAACCCTCAATGCAACACTCCTTTTGTCCCTTTCATAAGAGACCGTCAAGCCATCCATATAAAAAAAAAATTGAAAGTTCTCAGAACAGGAACAGGCAACTGTGGGAGGATAAGGATCCATTTTTATCCTCCCTCCAGATTCCCTAGACTGCACTTTTTTAGAGACACAATGACACCCCTCCCCCCAAAAAAGTAAAGGAAGAATCTTTTCAACTTTTAAAATATAATTAAGACCATTTTGTTACTCAAGATATCAGCATTTATCAGCAATACGATGCAGCCGCCAAAAGAGCAAATGCTATTTTGGGGTGCATTAAAAGAAGTATAACTTTCAAATTATGAGAAGTAGTAGTTCCTCTATACTCCTCCCTAGTCAGACCTCACCTGGAATACAGTGTCCAGTTCTGGGCACCAAGATGTAAGAAAGCTGCAGGAAAAGTAGAAAGGGTCCAGCAGAGGGCAACAAAAATGATCCAGGGTTTGGAAACACTGCCCCATGAGGAGAGACTGAGAGAACTGGGTATGTTCAGCCTTGAGAAGACTGACGGGGGACATGATATCCCTCTATAAGTACCTCAAAGGCTGTCACAGAGAGGAAGGTCAAGAACTCTTCTTGCTGGTACCAGAATGTAGGACATGGAATAACCAATTCAAGTTGCGGCAACCCAGATTCAGGCTGGACATTAGGAAAAGCTTCCTCACTGTCAGAGCAATACGACAGTGGAACCAGCTGCCTAAAGAGGTGGTGAACCCTCCCACACTAGAGACATTCAAAAAGAAACTGGACAGCCATCTGAGTGGGATGGTGTAACAAGGTGTCCTGCAACAGCAGGGGGTTGGAATTTGCTGCCATGGAAAGTAGTGATGGCTGCCAATTCTGGATGATGTTAAATGTGGAATCAACAGATTCATCAGGGAGGAGGCTATCAGCTGGTTATGTGCTATCCTCTTTATCAGAGGTGGCATGCCTGCATACAACAGTTGCTTAGGAGGGTTTGCACCCATCCTGCTTAAAGGATCCTGTGAGCAGCGGGTTTGCCACCATGTGTATAGAGTGCTGGACTAAATGGACCTTTGGTCTGTTCTATTATGCCTTTTTAATGTTCTTATTCCAAAGAAATAGTTGGTAATGGACAACAATTTATGAAGGCACACAGAATGGTGCAAAAGATGGCACTTCCTTATCATGTAAAATTCCTGGCCATCTTCACTGTCAATTTTACAGGAGAACCGAAGTAGTGTTGACCTCCAGAAGCTGCAACATCATTTATGATGGGGGCTGTGCCACCTACCATGCTTGGATGACACTTTCTGATCTGGCTGCTTCTAGGACTCCTACTTAATTTTATTTTTAGAAGGTAGATGGAAAGTTCTAGGTATTTGCCTGTGGTTTAAATAACTTGACTAAATAAAGTTCTGAATAGATTGCACCATTATTTCACTTGAAGCTGAAATTTTTTATCTCTCTATTATTTTGGAGATGTTTTGGTTTTTATTTTTTTCAGTTTGCTTTTAAGTGTGGAGGGTATTGTGAGATAGCTTAAAATGTAATAAACTTGTAATATTTTGATATCCTTGGCAGAGATGGCTAGATTTGTAAATACACAAGGGTAAACAATACATTTACCATTATTTCATATTTAGAATGACTTTTTGGAACATCAAGGGACTGATGTTGACTGATTTGAGGTAACCAAATAAGCAGAAGAAAGTCCTTTCAAAGCAAAAACAATATGACACTGTCATGGCTTTTCTACAAGAGATTTACCTCATATCAACAGATGCATACATATTAGCTGGCATCAGCTGGATAAGAGACTTATATTTATTTGTTTAAAATATTTATATGCCGTCCTATTCGCAAAAAAAAGCCTCAGGACAGCTTACAATGTAAAATATAACATAAATAACATAAATAAAATTCCCGACCCACAATTAAAAACAAAGAAAAGACAATATTAAAACTTATTAAAATACCACTGGAATAAAAAGAACTTAACCTTAAAAACAAATGACGGTGCCAGGTGGACCTCTCTGGGAAGCGCATTCCATAGATGGGGCGCCACCGCAGAGAAAGTCCTCCTCCGGGTACTTTGCCTCCTAATATCTTTCACACAGGGTTCCCGGAGGAGAGCTTCTGCTGCCGATCTCAAGGGGCGGGAGGGCAAATATGGAAGAAGGCATTCCTTCAGGTATCCAGGTCCCAAGCCGTTAAGGGCTTTACAGGTAATAACCAGCACCTTGAATTGAGCCTGGACTTCGATGGGAAGCCAGTGAAGTTGGCAGAGGACTGGGGTTATGTGAAAATAATTCCCAGTTCCCATCAGCAACCTGGCTACTCTGTTTTGCACCATCTGAAGTATCCGGACTGTCTACGGGAGAGCCCCACGTAGAACACGATACAGAAATCCAACTGGGAAATAACCAATGCATGTGTCACTGTCATTAGGCAGTCTTCCTTCAGGTAGGGGCACAGCTGATAGATTAGCTGAAGCTGAAGGAAAGCGCTCCTCACCACCGCAGTCACTTGAGCTTCCAAGGACAGCTCCGGGTCGAGGAGCACTCCCAAGCTGCGGACTCTGTCCTTTAGAGGGAGTGCAACCCCATCCAGGGTAAGGTCCAGGCCACCTACCCAGGAGTTCAATCCACCCACCAACAGGACTTCCATCTTGTCTGGATTAAGTTTATTGGCCCACATCCAGCCCACTACCTCAGCCAGGCACCGGTTCAGTACAGCCACTGCCTCACCTGGATCGGTTGAAAAAGAGAGGTAGAGCTGGGTGTCATCAGCATACTGATAATTCCACAGCCCAAACCTCCTGATGAGCTGTCCCAGCAGTTTCATGTAGATATTAAATAGCAAGGGGGACAAGATGGAACCCTGTGGTACTCCATGGCATAGCTGCCATGGCACAGAGATAAAGTCCCCCAGCACTACCTTCTGGAATCTGCCATTGAGGTGGGAGTGAGAGATCAAGAGAAGGAGTGCAAACCTGGGTCTCGGGGGCTGTCAATGCCTCTTTAAGAGAGGGAGCAATTCCAGTTTCTCTAAAGGCAGCTGTGATTAGACCACTCCTAAGAAAGTTAAACCTGGAATCAGGCAACATGATCCATTATAGATCAGTGACAAACATCCCTTTTTGAGCAGGTAGTGGCTGAGCAGCTCCAGGTACACCTGGAGGAAATGGACTATCTAAATCCACTGTAATTGGACTACAGGCCTGGTTTCAGGACAGAGACTGCCTTGGTCATCCTGTGGGGTGACCTTTGGTGGGAGTGAAACAGGAGAAGTGCAACCCTGTTGATCCTCTTGGACCTTTCAGTGTAAGTAAATAGGTTTATTGTTGAAACCATAAGCAATTAATTGCCCTCCTTTAGAATAAAAGAATGCCAAAATAGCACCTACTGTACTCTGAGCAGCTATCAAAACAGTAGATAGGCGTGTTTTCCATGAAAGGGACTTGTGGAAAGTAATACCCAAAGACTTAAAAGAGGGACATTGCTCTATTTGATGAACATTAATTGTCCATCTGATTGGTATTACTTTTTCCAAAGATGAGAATCTTTGTTTTACTATAATTAATCTTTAGTTTTTCCCTTTAACAATAAGCAACTAATCTAATCAGTA